ATAAAGCGCTTATTTTCATGTGATCCAGTCACATGATGATGTACATGTCCAGATTTATCATTCTCTGAAAAGAAACAGAAAACAAGAGAACCTTTTAGAATACTCCATTTCTAACTCTGTAACATCAACAGTCTCAATAAGTGGGAAAAGTACTGTTATGCTATAGCAAACCAGACAGATATTTAATTATCTGTTAATTAATGTACATTTATTTATAGGTAGGGTTTCCAGTTGCTAAGAACGGTTGAATACTAATCCTGTTTAAATGCAGATATTTTATTTAAAAATATATGCTATCTCAAAGTGCCCATTTTTCTTACAGATTTATGACAACATCACAAAGATGAACATATGTATACACACAGACACACACACTTACACACACACAGCTAAATCATACTCTGTGGAAATCTAAATGATTTGCTGTTACATGATGGACAGGATGGTGCATTTTTTTTTCAGAAGAACAGCGTCTGCTTCAGTGATCAATTAACTATGCTATGGTAACAGCTCTGTGGAAAATGTTATGATGAGGACGATGATGCTCTCATTAACGGACAAAGCATCTTTCCTACAAAGACTGCCCTCAAAATATGGAACAATTTTTCCTTTTCCTTCCTATTAAGATAGTCGAGTATAGTTCACAATATTTACCTTCTTTGTGCAGGAAACATACCAGATGCAGATGCCTGAGCAGCCACCTGCTGAGTAGCAACAAGGGCAGCAGAGGTCAGCCCTGGAGAAAAGTGAAATGGTATATCTCAGGACATGTGTGCTGGTACTCACAAAAGTCGACAATAGCTACAGACCTCCATATTAACAAGACATGAATCACAACAGCGCCATTATATTTTCTGCAGAAGGCATACCTAATTACTGCAAGCAAGCTGGAGAAAACCCTGCCTAACTGTTCTAACCAGCATGCCTTTTTTCAGATTCCACCTAATAGGCATTTTGTAAGAAAAGAAGGCATTCTGCCTTATTGTATTATTTTCCAAGTACTGCACTGCATGGTGCTAAATGGCTTGCGTGAATTCCTGAATAGGAAGCTCAGTAGAAATAATAGGCACCAGGAAACAACAAGAATCAAAAGTCACAGTGAGTTACAGCAAAGATGTTATAGCTTCTCAAAACATAATGCTTGCATAATAGCAATCGTTTTAGTGTTTTTCTTTCTGAACACATATAAATATCCCATAAAGCATATGGGACCACTGAAGCACAGTCAGTACTTTGCACAAAAGAGAAATTGGCAGGGCACTAAATGAACATAATGAGTTAACACTTTTTCAGCTATAAACATCATAGAAGCTCTTTGGGGCAGGTAAGAAAAATAGCCTTTAATATTAGTAGAATACAGGGACATAGCAAAAAAACAGCAGAAAAAAATTGCTGCTTATGATTAACCTCCAGTAATATATTATTTAATTAAAACAATCTTGGTTCTAAAACTATATGAACTAAATGACTAACAGAGGTCTTACTCATTAATAAACTAACCAAAGAGAGAAGCAACCTAGAACTAAGGAGAAAATTCCTGACAATTAGAACAATTAATCAGTGGAACAACCTGCCTCCAGAAGTTGTGTATGTTCCAACACTGGAAGTTTTTAAGACGAGACTAGACAGCCATTTGTCTGAAATGGTGTAGGGTTTCCTGCCTGAGCAGGGGGTTGGACTCAATGACCTCCAAGGTCCCTTCCAACTTTATTATTATATTATTATTGTTACTATTACTACTACTACTACTACTACTACTACTACTACTACTACTACTACTACTCTCACTTGGCCTTTCCCCATTTTTTTTAAATCACATGAATCTACTCATACTATTTACATATTTTACATCAATTTAATGTAAGTTCACCCTGTTACCTGAAAAACCCATAATGGACTATTTGGCTTATTAGCAGCAGAATCCTAATAATACCTACTCAATAGTAAGCCAACAAACTTTACTCCCTATCAATACAAAAATGAGGTGTTTCGGAAGACGAAAGACCTTTCTACTGGGCAGGAAATCAGCTGACTCCTCCCCCCAATTCTGTTAGCAAGGGTGCCCTATTGGCTGCAGCATGTTGACAAAAAAGCTTAATAAGGAGAACAGAAGGAATGAACAAACCAAGTTATGGTGTACCCAAATGTGATCAAGAATAATGGCATGCTCACAATGCCACCACAGAGTTAGTATGGCTGAAGGCAGTCTTTGAATCCATGGAAGCTCCAACACAACACAACACACATACACACACATGCACTCCAATTGCCTAATTTCCTCACCTTCCTACAGCCATGCAGAGAACTGAAAATAGCACCCTTTAAGTCAGCCCACTGCACCTTAGATGACTATGGCCATTTGAACCAGTTGGGCTGGCTTTAAGATTGCATTTCTATACCCATATCCTGGCAAAAATAGTAGGTTCTATCAACAATGTGGTCACTATCAAAACCAAGAATTTTTATAATCAACAATATTAGGAAAGCTGACACTCACCTTGAAATGGGTCATATTGACCTGGAATTAGCGGGTAGCCCATTCCAACATGTGTATGGTGATGTGTATGAAGATGCCGTTGACTAAAGGGGGAATGACGATCTCGCTCCCTTTCTGCTTCTCTCTCACGTTCAGCTGTAGATTTTTCCACAGGCTGAAAACAAAACAAATTGAGAAAAATTAATAGATGACTCCACATTTTTCTAGATGTGAGCTATTCAGGCTCTAGTTAATGTCTTGTATCTCCAATCTATCCCAGGTGGGTGGCAACAGCTAGCCAACCTTGTCATGTTAAAAGCTAAGCATGGTTGAATCAAGTTAGTTCTTCCAACAAAGAATCCCAGACTATAATTTAGATTGGGAAGAAAAAAACAAAAAACACTTCTGTCCTGCTGCCAAGAAAACTACATGGAAATAACCATTAAGTTTATTTACTTACAGCATTTATTTATCTCCTCAACTGGCTATAAGCAACATGCAACGTCTGTCAGTTATCAGAAAACTGAGCGTAACTCAAAGAACTACTGACACCTTATACCAGGGGTGTCAAACTGCTGGCCCGTGGGCCAGACGTGTCACGCAGAAGCTGCACCCACCCCATTGCCGGCAATGGCAAAACCGTCCCGATACATTGCGTGATGTCACATGACGTCGCGAGTTTGACATGTCTGCCTTATACCATCCTGCACCTATATTATTCCAATTACTCTACTAACAAAAGCTATACCCACCTGGCTTGAGAAAGAAGACAACTATTTTAATTAAACATTAGGGTGAAGAACTTTTGTTACAGCAATTAAATTTTCTTCAACCTATCTAAAAAACACCTGATTTTTTTAATAATTTGATGGTGACATTCCAAAAATTAAGGAGAGGTGCAAAGGCTTTACTGCGTTCCTTATTCTGATTAATGTTTGAAAACTTATTTCAGCTTTATTACTGTACCTTGAGATTTTTAAGCATCATTTAGGAGAAAATACAATGAAACAGAACACAGTGCAATTAAAAGTAGGCCCATGCCTTTTTAAATTTGGTTCCTGAAAGAAAGCACAAACTAACTTAAATCATGATTAGTTCTCAAATATGAATATTTAGGTATACTAGTTAAAGTTAACCCTCTCACTCTTCCAGTTATGCCAATTTATGCAATTCTTTAAGAACAAGATATATCTTACCACAGGCGACTTGCTACGATACTGATTGGCATGCTGCTGCAACAAATCCAGTGCTTTAGATTCAGTGGTTGATTTTACGCTGATGCTAGGGCTGGTATTGACTTTTTCCACCTCTTCTCTCCCAGACATCTTTCCATAAACAGGATAATGAAATCCTGGTGAGAGATAGGCACCTACAGATAAAAAAATAAAGGCACTCTCAAGTTACTATTGGGGGTAAGGCAATTTCAAATGCATGAAATGCAAATTACAAAAATTGTATTCAAGGGATTAGATTTCTCTTGTCAAACGTGGCTATTTGAACCTGGCAAATGAAAAGTTATAAAGAGGGCTGAACATATTGCTATTTCAAACATTTAGGGATTTAAGTGAAAGAAGTAATAACTGTAATGGTTCTGAAAGTAAATGCTTAGAATATTTTTATAGGCAAGCAACTATCTGAGTGTAATAGCCCAGGAGAATGCCAATGGATGTGGACATTGTATTTGGAAATGCTGATAATTCATAAAAAATAACAACTTATGTTACATTTATTTCACTCCTAGATCTTTGCAAAAGAAATTGAATCTCTGAAGCTTCTAATTTTCCTTTGCTTCTAATAGACAATGTCAAAACTGATGGACCTATTCAGATTAATTTGGTACATACCTGGATAACTATGCATGAGAACAGGAGAAACAGCGCGGTATGCAGGATGATTAGGATCATACATTTGTGGGTAAGGGTAAGCATGCAAGTACTGTATATATGACTGATGCTGAGTCATTGGAGAGGAAACAGCCACTCTAGTACCCCGGGATTCCTTCCAGTTTACAGGAGTCTTTTGATCATCATTTTTTATCTTGTTCTCCTCCAGTGGCTGAGACTCAGAACGCTTCATCTCCTTGGGCTCTTCTTTAATGCTGTTTAATGAAACTGGAAGGCTAGAGAAGGAAGCTTCTTTATTAGGTGTTTTTCTGGGGCTATCTTCTTTTAACTTTTTTTCACGGTCCAGTTCTTCCACTTTCTGCTGATCAAGATATTTTGGCTGGTATACATAATGATGCCATGTTCTTGTATCTGGATCCTGATAGGAAAGGAAGAAGAAAAAACCCCACCATTTTAATATTTACATTCTAAAAGAAGAACCTACAACTACTGTGGTCCAGAGAACAGAGCCAAAACAGACAAGAGTAGAACTGGCAAATATAGAAGGGTTTGCAGCTTGCATAAAAAAATGCAATATGTTGAAAATGCTATTGTCAACCTGAGCGAACTCTGTGTTGGAATTGTGGGCATGTCTTTATCACTGTAACATTGCTGGAGTTTGCATGTGACATAACTCTTTTACTGGCATCTCAGTCTGTTCTCCTCTTGCAGTTACTGAGCAGAAAATAGCTTCAAGTCGGCAGAAATGCCTCACTAACTCCTTCCAGCTGGCCTTTTGCTTTATACAGTATATATATATAGCTAGGAATGTAATCTTAGTCTCTGTCTAAATTTCACAAGGTAGAAGTCATTTTGTGATGTCACATACTGCTTTGGAGACTTCCATAAGCTGGAAAAGGATTAATGGGCAATGCAAGAGGACACAGTTTGTCATATAGAAGTCCTGTTTGCCTTAGGAAAATAACAAAAGCTTGTAATTTTTAAAGCCAGAGTTATGAACAGAAATGAGTAGCAATAGTATTTCATTAAAAATTAATATAAAGTACAAAGAATTGCTTTCATTGAACTTAAATGAACCCTCACTACCTTAATGGATAAAATACATAACATTTAAAGATAAAATTTAAAGAGACAACTGTAGTTTTGGTTTTATTTTAGGAAATTTGTAATTTACTTTGAAGGCAGAAATAAGATTTCTTAATAAGCAAATATATATCTTTGGGTTATTGGGGTGGTTTTTTATTTTTGCTGAAGAAGGTTTTTGCAATAGGAACTATCAACACTGAAGTAAACAATACAAAGTTTTTACCAATTGGCTTAGCTTGGATATAGAAAAACTGGTCACAATCCCCAAAAATCAATGCTTCCCAAACCAGAGTAAATTACCCCAAATGGGGTAAAAATGGGTTTTCTTTGGGTAAGACATATAAAACAATTACCCAATCACAATGGGGATATTTAAATTAACTTAAAAGTGTTTTACCTACAATGGGTAAGGATTTTCTGATACTTGGTTTTGAATAATGAAAAGTTTTAAAAGCAGTGTAATAAATATATGACAAGTTCCACAAACCAAACTGAGTTACGTTTATGATTTTTGCACAGCAATCTCCATTTTTGTGTTTTGAAACTGAAATAGTTTACATATGACACTGTTGAGAATTCTAGAGCTAGACAAAGAAAGCATCATTATGATACATATGCCTTGCAAACCAATGTAAATTGATTCCTGTTGGTGTATGTTTTTGATCTATTATTTTGTGGTTTTTAATTGGGTATACCGCAGATTTTAGCAATTTTCTTTTAATTAAGCCAGGGATCGTCAACCCCCGGGCTAGGACCAGTACCAGTCCATGGCCTGTTATGAACTAGGCTGTGCAAGCAGCGGGTGAATGAGCAAAGCTTCATCTCTCCATGCACAGGATCTAGGTTGCGCACAAAAACATGCCTTCCCCCTGGAGCGTGGAAAAATTGTTTTCTACAAAACTAGCCTCTCGTGCCAGAAAGGCTGGGGATCGCTGATCTAAATCATTTATGCAAACATCAATAAAATATTTCATACTGGGGGTGGGTGGGTTTATGAATATAGATCTTGCTGTGTAATATAAAGGCTAAGATTTATGACTTCCATCAAAGACTAGCATGAATAAGATCTATTTATTTACCCTGTCTGAAAAAAGTTAAAACTCTTCTTCTCATACTTGAAAATATTTGCAAAGCATAACATTAACACATTATCTTCCTGTTTGCTGATTTATTGATATAATAAGCCGAATTATACAGTGAGATTTATATTTACCACTTTAAATAAGACAGGGATTCTCAGATTTTGCCACAAACCTATCAAAGAATAAATCCTCCCCATGAATTACTAGTATTTCTACATATGTGAATGACTTTTGGAAGCATTATGCTTTCCTCAATTATGTGTAGCTTTTTATACTATAATCTAGAAATTTGAGATGCCAACTCCTGCCAGTCCCAGCTAGTTGGCTGGAGATTATGGAGTCTGAATTCCTTCTCATACTTGGAAGAAAGCCAGTTGGGGATAAGTATTGCTGAAGGTCTCAGACGCAGCCTCTCTGCCTGCTCACCCTGTTCAACCCTTCTGATCACCACAAATTTGCAACCACCCTCAAATTTGCTTACAAACAGAAGGATAATTTAACATAACAAGTGTTCAAGGAAAGAAGAGTTCTGGCAGAGCATGAGGAGAAGAAGCATGCAAAGAATCTCACTTCAGTATTCTAGACTGAAAGCAGAGCACAGCTCCATAAGGTTTAGAAATATCCTTAAGCCTCAAAAGCCAAGTGACTCAATTACTTCTTTCTACCCTGCTCTTATGTGGATTGCACACTCCACTGATGTTTATTGGCCTTGAACCTTAGAAGAATAGTGAATAGCCACTAAGTGTTCAGACAAATCCCTGAAGTTATGTCATCATTTCTATCTTTCAAAATACAAATTCAGTACATCACGAGGATAGCTCTCTTTTTAACATTGGGCTTAGCTGTGGAGGTCAGTTGCTACTATCCTGAAATCTGGGTGAGAGCATAGCAATAAATCTTGTTTGAGAAAGCAAGAAAAAACATCCACATGAGCTGCACAATCCTTGGCAGAAGTATCTGCAAGTAAATGCCAAAAGATTATAGCTTAAAGCCCTAGGATCTAAGCTTAGAATAATTCCACCCCTCACCTTTCCTCCTTCTCACCTGTTTAAACCTTGTAGTAGGATCTACTCCAGTCTGCTTCATAGAATCCATAACAGATTTCATCTCCACAGCCTCCTTTATAAGCTGATGGTTTTCCATTTGTTTTGCTTTGAAGCTATCGGACTGAATCTGTTGCTGATGATTTGAAAGCATCTGAGGTTTACTTGTTTCCTCAGTTTTATTAGGGACTGATGACCCTAATTTAGTGTTGTTTTTATTAGTCTCTGAAGCTGAAGGTGCTTTTGAGATTGTAGCAGAGGGTATATTTTTCAACTTGTCATCTTTTCCCAGGTCTTTCAGCTGGAGCTCGTTTTTCCTTTCACATTCTCTACCAGTTTGAGTCACTTTCTGTTCTGCTAATCTCTGGTCCTCATAGTATTTTTCATACTGCTGCCTATAAGCAGGATTAGAGGCCATTAAGGATTTTTGGTCCATATAAAGCCCATAAGCATACTGGCCATAGTAAAGTGACTGGGCAAGTGCAGGATGCCTCTGAGTTATTACAGACTGGTGTTGAGGCTGCAAATTAGTGGGACCAGCTTCACTTTTTTTGGATTCTGGAGGCTCTGCCTTATCTTTTTTCTCAGCCTCTTCCTCCACCTCCTTTTTGATCTTCATTCCCTGGGGGTTATTGCTGCTGTTCCCAGCTGCGGGGGTGCTGACCTGTCCAGAGTGCATGTAGCTTGGAGAATAATAAGGATCGTAGCCATGGTAATAAGGAGAATGAGCTTCTTTTACTTGGGGTAATTGTACCGGCGTTGAAGAATGTCCTTTTCCAACACTGTCTTTATTAGAAATAATATCTGAAGGAGAGCTGGCCTTTGACCTCATGCCCTCTGACCTGCTGTCAGAACCACCATCGTCTGCAGCATCAGAGATATCCGAGTAAGCAGGACTGTTAGTTTTAGCAGCAGCACCCTCTGCTCCATTCTGTGTCAACACATGCAGTGGCGCCACTGAAGACTGTCCATTGACTAAAGGGCTGCATTCCATTCTGGAGGAACTCCCTATCGAAGGGCTGGGGGCATTGTCTGTGAAAGTGTAAACTTTATCAGCTTCAGCTTTAATGCTTGCCATCCTGCTCTCCTGAGACTCTGACAGTCCGTTAGCTAACACTTCATTCTTGCTGAGATGTTCCTTTAAAAAATGCCCAGTAATCTCTTTCCCAGACCCCTTGGTGTCCTCTAATTTTCCCAGCTTCAAATCCACTTTAGGATTCCCAGTCTCTTTGCTTTCTTTGTCCTTAAGTTTTCTCTTCTCTTTTTTCTTTTTGTCTTTGAGTAATGTGAGAGCTGGACTGACAGTGCTCGGCTCTCCCATGATTGTGGGCTTTGGCTGAATAGGTTTTAGCGGAGGGCTCTTTGGTGTAGCCTGCACAACAGTGGTTGTCAGGGAGGGCAATCCTGATATTGACCCAGTGGTGGTGGTTGTAAAGGCTGCTGTGGGGATAGCTATTAATTGAGGCGGTGTGGGAGCCGGAGCTGGGGCAATGGGTCTGGCAGTTTTCAGCTTGGACAGATTTTTATCTACTTTGCAATTACTGCCTTTTTTGCCTTTGTCTTTTTCTCCTAGGTTTTTCTTGTCTATTAGTCCTTCAGCTTCTAGCTTGGGCATTTCACTGGCCAAACTGTTTTCTGCCACTGAACAGTTTTCCAGAGTCACAGTCATATTAGAAATAACCGGTAGACTATTCAGTTCACTGTTCAAGCCCCTCTTTTTGCCAGAATTCCTGCCATTGTGGGCCTGCTCCCGTTTCCCCTTTGGTGTTCCAGGGGTACTCAGGGAACAAGGAGACAGGGGCCCTTTCAGCTGATCAAAATGTGATAAACTTGTGCTTGGGTCACTGCATTCAAGTGCCACATTGCCGAGTGCTTCCTCACAGTCTGAGATTTTGTCTTCACTGTCAGGCTCAAATTCCAGTTTGTTTTCTGGGTCTAAATGTGCATGAGCCTGATGATACCTTAACCCATTAATGTGCTTGTATTTTTTGTTGCAGTTAGGATGGGGGCAATCAATCAACACTGGAGAAGAGCAGCCTTGATCTAAAAAAGCCATCTCTGGTTTCCCTTGGGGAGTGGTAGGAGTGCTTCTAGAATTGGTGCGCATGCGCTTTCCAGATTTGTTATCCTCTGAACTGGAATTCAAGTCCAGCTCCATGGGTGGCTTGTTTTTCCTCTTGTTATTAGACAAAGGGCTGACTTTCATATCCTCCATGGCACAGTTGGGGGGTGTCCTGCGGCCACTAGAATTAAGGCTGCCCCGTCTTCCTTTACCATTGGCACCACCTCTGTTCTTGTTCTGTAGTCCTCTGGACTCTGTAAAGGTAATATCAGTCCCAGGTGTGGCTGTAGCTGCTGCAGATCTTGCTCGCTTTCCTCTGCCCCGACCTCCTCGCATTTCCAGGTCACTTGTTGGCGATTCACAAAACCTGTTAGAAATAAAATCAGTTCTCAGAATTGGGTACATGAGAAAAAAAAATCAAATCTTAAAACTGTCTCAATGGCAAACCAACATATAAGACATCCAGACCCCCCCCCCAATATCAGTAATGTTTAGGGAGGGGGAGGAGGACACTTCCCTAAGTCATCTGAAATTAAGGAGGGAGAAGGATCAATCAATCAATCAAAATAGAGCTGGAAGGGAAAAAATTCATTAATTTTTTTTTATTTCTTCTTTCTCTTTACTCCCTACCTCCTTACGTGACTGGTTATCTAGTGGTTTTTGCTTGGAATTAGGGTTCTAAAGGTCAGGAAGATTGCCCCCTTCCCCCCTCAATTTCAGTTTAAAGCCCTTTTGATAAGATGAACTAGCCCTTTACCAAATATATTATTTCCAGTTCTTGTGAGGTATAGCCCATCCCTTGCCAGTAGCCCTTCATGTAGGTAATGCAGACCATGGTCTAGGAAGCCGAAGTTCTGTTGACAACATCAGTTTTTTAAACCAGGGGTTTGTTTCTAAAATCTTTTGCTCCCTCATTGGATATTGGTCTTTTGTTGGAAGTATTGATGAAAACACCACTCCTAATTCTTTAATTTTCTTTCCTAGCTCTTCGTAATCTCCTATTACTGTTTTTAGATTCATTTTTGTGTCATTGGTCCCCACATGTAGGAGAAGAATGGGGTAGTAATCCGTGGGGTTGATTATTTTAGTAAGGTACTCAGTTACATCTTTAATTTTTGATATGCCATGCAAGTTTTGCAGGAGGTGATTTACTTGCTATTTCTTACTATTTTCTTTTTCTTTTTTAAAAGATTTAACAACAGAATAAACTATATACACAGAAGCAGTAAAATGAAATAACACCAGGCACATAAAAAGATAAACAGTGAAATACTGCAAACAACATAAAATTGTTAATTAACACCATAGTGTTTTCTCCCTTTCTTTCACTTTAACATGCTAGAATCAAACTTAGTAGATGTGAGAGGAAGCAGGAGAGGCAACCCACATTTTCTCTAACTGTATACTGGATTTCATTCACTATTCCTTATTTTAAGAAATCCATTCATGTATTCAGCTAAGGATTGAGCAAATAATAGCCTACAGGAAACACACACCAGATCTCACTTTATGGCCTTCTACGTTACAGTGCTGAAACTCAGAGCAAAACCAGCAATTTTGATGGCAAGATCAATGCCTGCTTTCTAAAATTAGAACAAAAATAGATGCACTGAAATACAGTACTGGCAAGACTGAATGCACCTAAACTCCCTCTTAAAGCTTTTCAAAATACGGGTACATTCTGCAGGTCTTGGAGGAGTGGGATAAATACGAAGCCTATTCATTTGCAAATAATTTCTTCTGCATGGCCTACTTTTCCTCCAACATATGGTTTCACTTATGTGAAATGATTTTTTTTTAAAAAAACTTATTATCTGTCTAGTTCTCATGTCAGAATGTGAACAAGAAAGCAGACCCCACTCCCCCCAGATAATTACTTACCTGGGAGGAGCCCAATCGTGTTTTGTGCAATCAAGCAACGTTCCAACATAGGTTTTATTCCTCCAAGTAACATTAACAACAAGGACACCTGCAGATGGAAAAGAAACAAAGGCTGGTTGGTGGGAATCATGACTTTTGGACTTGGTTCAGAAACAGAATGGTAAAAAACCAGCTAAATGTTCATTTGTTTTCACAGATTGTGGTTTGCCAACTTCCTCTTGTTTGGTTTCAGTGACTTCCATTTAAAACCCACAGAACAATGAATGTGCATGCAAGACAAAGAATAAGGGAGTGATCAAGATGCTAAAATGAGAGGGAATGGCTTTTTACTGTGTCTGCTTTAAAAACAGTGACCTCTTAATTTCTTTCTATTATTGTATAATTATTGTTGATCACTAGTGAAATTAAGCTGAGTATCAGTAACTGGCCCACAAGGCATTGGATGGCAAGAGGAAACGCTTCTCAGAGAGTACACAGAGTATATTTATTTGAAATGATACCTACTTTAGAGGCAATTACACAATATAAACACTATACTGTATAATTAAAATTTCTAATTATTATCAACATAGCTAATATTGAATGCTCTTTATTTTTCTTAAGAAGGCATTCCTCCCAAGTACGAAAATTTAGAAAAACTGAATTAGAAATATTTTCCAATATTTAACAAAAAGCAAACTGAAAATCAATGTGTCAATGAGTATTCTTTATTAAACACCGAAAAGCTATCAGATTTCTCTTCTGGAGTGCTCCCTCAAATAAAAAACAATTTCTAATATTTAGACTTGTAGACAATACCTATATTCCACCAGATTTAAAATATATATGAACACAAATAATTGTTTCCATAATATCCATAATAAGACATGCTAAAAAAAAAAGACCCAGAGCAACAATATCAAGTTGTAATTCATTGTAAATATTTAGCACCAATTGGCAAATATGAAAGTTTTTTTCCTCTCACACTATATATTTGTATATTCTAACTCCATCCCAGCCTTTAAACTGAGAAATAATGTATAAATAAATAAATAATAACATCCTGCCTCATGTTTCCAGCTTGTCGGCTCAATTTACGTCACTAGTGTGATTTCTAATTTGCATTCAACCTTTTTCCCAGACCAGAACATCAATGTAAAGAAAACATGTAACCTGCAACTTATTTCCTTAGGGACCTTTTAACAGCAGGAAAGTATTTTGAAATGCTATTAGCTAAAGTACTAAGGAAGAAGGGATTTCCTTTAAGCATTTTCAACAGCATATCAGACGAGGGGAAAATGGTTCCCTGCATGGTTTTAGAGTGTTATTGTAAATGCAGAAGGCCACCACATAAGGTATATATCCTGACTTGAGGTCTTTTTTTAAAGAAACAAAAACATAAACTCCAGATATGGATGATAAAATCTTTGTTAAATAAAACTAAAAGCCACAGCGTGTAGTGGCCCAAAAAATATATTTCATTTTTCCAATTAAAAACAAAAGTAGAAAGGAAAATACCTCCACTCCCAATTATACTATAAAAATACACATTCAAACAGATGCAGAATGGATCTGTTCTTCTCATCATTTGCTCTCCAGGGCACTGCATGTGGTGTTGGAAACCTTTCCAATTGCTTAACATTTTTCAATCTATCTGCTGTATTTAAATTACTGAAACATATTATATTGTTAGAAGGTTAATGCATTTTTTTAGCTTAAGATGCAATAGGCTAAATCTCTTTGTGCCTGAATCTCTGATGTACCACAAATGTATAATTAAAATTACTTGAAAGAGAAACATGAAAGAAACAACAAGGCTTCCCTTCTTGGAATAATAGCATTAAAAAACAGGAAAAGTCTGCACAGACACTTAACATTTGTCTGCAGTGAAAAAGGCCTTTGTTATTGTCTTTCCCTAAGGGCTTCATATTTCCCTCAAATTCAGTCTCTGGATTGGCCAGGGCTGGCTGACAATGCTGCCATATGATTGGTTGGACTTACCACTGCAGCAGAGGCACAAAAAGAAAAAAAACCAGTGATGTAACACAACCCTTCTGTGCAAGCAGAAAGTGACATGGTGAGGGGGAGGGGAAGGGAGTGAGCCTGGTATAATCTCACCAGCACAAGAGGCTTGTTTAAATGCTTCCTGCTTCTGTAATTACGCTCTGGTTTGTTTGCACTATCTGGGCCTGTCAACTTGAAAGGTTACTGTCTGCTCAACTGGGCTGTGTTAAGCATTCAAAATCTTCTCTGGATCTTGAAAAAAGGAATTTGTTTGCCAAAGTAATGATTTATACTAAGAAACAATTATAATTGTAAATGATATAGGCTTGATAAGTTATAACTACTGTATCTGATTAGTAATGGCAAATTTAAAGTTAAATCTAAAATTAGTGAACTGTAGTAACTATTTCTGGAAGTTTTTCATCAACTACTTAACACTGTCTAATTTAGACCCTGCTTGATGTCTAAATATAGCAATATTAACAAATGACTTATTTTTGTAGGGTGAAAAGCACCCTAATGAAGTCAGCTCAAACTTTTAAATGTTTCTTTCTTTTCCTAAAATTCAAACTGAGCATTGTTGCACAAATGAGAGCTGGTGGAAAAAAAATCTGCCAGAAACTGTGAGAAGTGCCAGTTATGTATGTGCAGTACTGCCCATATGATGGATTAAAAAATATATGGTAGAAATTCTCCGTTCCTTAGAACTTGAACACTGCTTCTCTGTGCTAATATGCAACATGAACCCAAATTTATTTTTAAGTAATATGTGGATTTACATAAGGATGTAGACGGGTGCCAAACTGCAGGCCCGTGGGCCAGATGCGTCATGCCGAAACCACGCCCACCCCATTGCCGGCAATGGGAAAAAAGTCGCGAAATGTCACGTCATGTGACATTGCGAGTTTTACACCTCTGACGTAGACGCTGAGTTCCACTGAGGCTAATGAAAAGCTCACAAACAGAATATGAGAACAGTGTTCTTCTACTGCTCTTCCCCAAATGACTTGATCGTGATTGGTAGTTACTGATATGGTGATCCTTTATATATTTGCCTGCTGTCCAAATAACATTTAGTCTCTTTATAAACTATTACATAAAAAAATGCTTGTGCAAACTGACTAGATTTGTTCCTTGAATCAGCTGCAGCTGCCTAAAACCCTCATAAAATAATATGGACATATATGATTGAACACAGATCAGATTTCCACCAAGATGCTTAATGAAGCAAGTGGTTGTGCTTCCTTCAAAGAGCACATCTAAGAGGCCCTTTTCATACAGTTCATTCACTGAGTGATTGGCACAGGCTTACAATGCAGTATGTAGCCAATAATTCAGTATGTGCGTGGATGGGGCAAAGATCTGTAAATGTGATTGTATATTCCTGCTTGTTGTCCATAATCTGATTGGGGCACTATGCATCACTTTGTTTGTAATTCGTAAGAGGGAGTAAAACTGTATCATCTGTATGAAATATTTTAAAGCAATCACAACTTTTCCCAAGATCATGTGGTTGATCTTACCTCTGAACCTGCAACATAATCCTGTAAAAGGACTTATCTGCTTAAAGGAGTTGGGAACACCTGCTATGTTTACACCATGTGTTCAAAAACACCTATTTGGAATCAAAGTCAAATTATTGTATAACTGTTAGCTAAAGGTCTTAGCCTCAATTTCTGATAGTTCTGGGAAATTTGAGTTAGGTGCAAAGTTATCTGGATGGTTATCTATAGTTCTTTAAAAATTGAAATCCATCTCTAAAAATTAAATAGTTCTCAGCTAGCCACTTTTCAAAATTCTCTCCTTCTGGAGTTATGTATAGCTCCCACTTTCCTTACTTTCTCAAAAACAAGTAAAAAGATTGCCTTGTGTCAAATTGAATGGGAGGCATCACAATCATTTTATGTTTTTCTGATGCTTATTTTAATTTTTGTTATTCACCATCTGGAATCTTTCAGAAGTGGGACAACCTAGAAATAGTATAAATAAATAAACACAGAAGAATCATGGCCTAAAAAATCTGAATTGCTAAAGTTGATAAAAGAATAAAGTTTAGAAAATTATTAAGAGCAAAGTGTAAACAAATTATGTTTTCTAAGTGCTTGTATCTGCTGCTATCACAGTTAAGTCACAAAATTTTCTCTGTATTAATTTTCTTTTGCCAAGTGGGTTTTGAGAAAAATGGCCTTGCACACATCTGTCCCTGATTCTTTCGGTCATAAGAATGCAAGTAATGAAGTAAGAGTATTTAATTTAGGAAATCTACTGCAGAAGTGAATCATGCGAATAAAGTGCTTCAACCAGAAAAGCATGGAACTGGAAAGACAATGATAGTAGACAGAAATATATATGTAATGAAAACTCTAACCTGGTTCCTTTCTGCTCTATATGCTCTTAAGACATTTTATTGTCCCACTTCTGTCAGAGTAATACTTTCCTGAAGATGATCAGATTTTCTAGCATTCAGGTTTTCTCATCAAAGATAAGATGGCTTTCCGTTTTATGATGAAGGCATCCTACTGCTCAAAGTCTGCTGGATGTTTCAGATTGCCTTTTCTACTTGCAGAATTTCTCAGACAAAGGAAATACCTCTTTCCCCAACCCAACAAAAGAAGGGGCTTATGACAGTGACACTCTCTGTAGTGTAGAAGACTTTTCAATCCAAACTCAACCAGAGTTTGAAACAAAACTAGAATAAAGAAATTAATATGGGAGGTAACAGTATATGAACTAGTGCTCAAAACCAAAAGCAGAAATAAAAAAGTTCTGAAATATTAATGCAGATAAAAAGAAGCATATGCTTTCCCCCTGAAATGTATTCTAATGCACATCAAGAAATAGAATTTGGAGGTGGGAGTATTATTTATTTACTATATTTATGCAGCCATTCATTTATTCAGGAATTCTGGCAGTGACAGAAATAAAAAGAAACCAACTATGTAAATAAGGTGACCAACCGTCCTCCTTTAGGGAGGACAGCCCTCCTTTTGTAAGTTCTGTCCTCCCTCGAAAAGTGTCCTCCTACATGTCCTCCTTTTTGATATTTGAAGACTAATCTGCAGGCTTTTTTTCTCATAGAACGCTAAGAACGGCGTTCCGGCACCT